CACACACACACACACACACAGACAGCCTATTCCCAATATGCGTTTTTGCAATTTACATATATGCAAAAACGCATAACGAATGAAGGCATGTCAGTGATCTGAAAAGTGAACTGAAATCAGCTAACCACGATCGTAGAATGGTGTTCGGCCGTTCGAGCAAACAGGTGTGATAACGTTAGGCCGAACGAATTTCGAAGCAGCTGCAGGCAACGAGGCAAAACGGCAACATATACTCACGGAAGGTATGGAGGATATCAAACATGCTGTCGATTTTGGACATGCTTCCAGCTCAAGACCACAGATCTGCGCCTGAACAAACGCATAAGTGCATGATTAGTCTAATCCCACTTCGAAAGCAGGGTTAGACTGGAACGTTTTATTGAGACAATAATATCATATCAGTCTGTCATTGATCGAGCACAGTGCAGCCTCACTTACTTAAGAATTCCGTAATATACCTCTCAGATCTACAAATCTGAAGGGCAGACACGGATTGGTATAGCATACATTGCTACAGCATAACTCTGCTATATCAAGATTGCCCAGTAATGAAACATTGGCTGCATATCGCGGATGTAGGAAGGCTTCCGGTCTAAAAACTGGAAGTGGCCTATTGGTCAGCAGTGGTGAGCGAGTGAAGTAACACGAATTCATAAATTTATTAACCGTTTTTGTCATTTTTACATATAATTCTGAAAATTTTTATTGATTTTTAAAAAAATCCGAAATCGAAATTTCTAAGTGAAATTTGAAGTGCTTACCGCCAACGTCCTTACCTTTCTTAGTGAAAAAAGAACTTTCAGTTAGACTTCTTTCGCTAGACGGTAGACGCTTTCGAAAATTCCAAAATGATAAACAAATTGCTAGGCACAATAATCAAGATGTTTTGTTGCTTTTTGCATTCATTCGGGAAACACAGTTTCAAACAACAAGCTAATAATAACCAACCTTTTGTCCGGAAGCGAGATACGTCCTTCCTTTCAGGCAGGCTGGCTTCCCCTTACAACAAAGACCGTCCGGTGAAGGGTTCCGGTTGAGGCAGGTGTAACCTGTAGGGCAAACACTGGCGCCATTGATCTCGCAGTGCTGGCCGTTGGTTGGAAGATCGTTCGGGCATTCAGCGTTTGGATATGAAACCACTTCGACTGCATTACTGGCAGTATGTGAGCAGCACATGTGAAAGCCAGCCACAGTGCTAAAATTCACAGTCAGTCCGCATGGCAAATTTTTATCTTTTTAATAAATTGTAGGAAAATATGACCTAATGAAATATAAATGTACTAGAACACAAAGACCACCCGGAGAGCCGGTGCTGGTATAATTGTTAGTGCTTATATTTCGTCAGTGATCACGCTTTGCATCCGTAAGTCTTTAACTTTAGTACAGTGATACTATAATGAAAAAGTGACGCACAGTTCCTTTCGGATGGCATAAATCGCACAAATAATGTAGTGTAACGTGATGTCGTGTAGAGAAATGGAAAAGAAAGCAGTACTGAAAGCAAGAAAAAATGCTTGTGCCGGCTTCTTAATCTATTTAGGTGCATCCTTGTAGCACTAGAAGCTAGAAAGGTCAGGTACAATCGTAAAGAAATCATAAAGAAGCAAAACATGAAATTTACCTCTCCACGCACTCTGAGGACGAGGGACAATTGTTGTTGTCCGGTTGACAACTTACAGTGGAGTCTGAACCTGAAAAGTGCATCAACCTTATTTTGGGCTTTTTGCAGCTATGCAATTCAAAAAACGCATATTGAGAGGGGTTATTTGTGTGTGCGAGGGTTGTCTGTGCGGTTTTTCATCTCAAGACCTACAAAAGCTACAGGACTGAAAATTTGAGAACTTAATCTACATGCACGTACGGATCCAAATCCCAAAATGTACGCTCTTACCCGCGTGGTACCCACGTACGGACCCGTGAAGGTTTTTGAGCGTAAGTCGCTGACTCGGGAACCAGAAAAGCTAGAAAGCCGAAATCTTAAAGGGATGTTCCCGCTCACGTAAGTCTCAATGAGCTTAAACCTAGTCCTCTGGCATGCGTGGTGCTCACGCGCGGGCCCGTCAAAGTTTTCTCGGGTAACTTGCTAACTCAGGAATCTGAGAAGCCAGAGGACTGGAATTTTAAGAGGATATTCCTCGTCCGCGTAGGCGTTAATGAACTCTAACCCAGATACCGGGTGTGCGTGGTACCCACGTATGGGCCCGTAAAAGTTTTTTTGGAGCAGGTTACTAACTCGGGAACCTGGAAAGTTAGAAGACTGTAATTTTAAAGGGATTTTCCTCATCCACTTAGGTATTAATGAGCTCAAACCTTGCCTCCGGGCGTGGGTGATTCCTGTGTGTGGACACGTGAAAGTTTTTTTCGGGTAAGTTGCTAACTCGGGAACCTGAGGAGCTAGAAGACTGTAATTTTAAAGGGATGATTCCCGTCCAAATAGATATTGATGAACTCAAACCTAGCCTCCGGGTAAGCGTGGTACCTACGTAAGGCCGTGAAATTTTTTTTCGGACAAGTTGTTAACTCGGGAGCCTACGGAGCTAGAAGACTGGAATTTTGAAGAGGTGTTTCCTGACAATCCTGGCGGCCAGTCTGAAATTCTTTTAGCTAGAAGCATCTACCAAAAGAACAGTGCCGTTAGCGACAAAAATTTGCGGGGAACTATGCAAAAACGCATCTTCGCCCGGATAGCCCGTGCACTGGACACAGGGTATGCGTGGTACCCACGTATGGGCCCGTAAAAGGGAGGGGGGTTAGGTGGCGTGGGCGTGAGGGGTGGAGGGGACAGGGACGGGGGAGGGAAGGGAAGACGGGAGGGGTGGGGCACTAAAAGAATCTGTTGAGAATGAATGAACTTGCCTGGAATAACGTACGGAATTCGTTGTCCTGGGCACATTGCTGTTGTGCTGCAACAAATTGCGACATTCTTCGTTGACGGGACGCAGGAAGAGGACACCGGACACGAGCCGACAACATTCAGCCTACATCTCTGGAAATATCAGTACTTGCAAGCACTGCTATAACTGGGATTCTTTTAAGAATATTTTAATTAGGTTTGCCAGGAGAGCAGAACCACGGTTCTCCATTACTTTAACAAACACGTCTAACAGCTGAGTGACTATCAAAACCCAATGTCTCCTTCCAGTTTTACTCTTTTCGAGAGGCGAAGGTAAACAAAATCATGCGAACGTCAGCATTTCGCCAGCCAGGCGCTAATTTCCAATTCCAGGGTGTCCAAGAAGCATAATGATTGCACTCTGATTTCTTAGAATGCCCATCGAAATGAATGAGTGGATTGGAGAGAGAATGGTTGCCTCGCTCAGCAAATTTGAACAAAGCACAGTCAATGTCATCGCTAAACATACCCATTACAATCTTCCCTCATGATACTTTGACGTGATCGTACGCGCGATATAAGCATGCGCAACCGCTGAATTTGAAATCTTTAGCTCACACATACACAGAGAATGTTCCCGCAAAGTTTCAGCTTCCTGTCTTGTCTAGCTAGCGAAATCGTTCCCATCAAAGAAATACGCATTTTCTGCCAGGAGCCGCACGCGAGATCTAGGCGTGTGTGGGCAAAGATTTTAAAACGGGGAAGGGTTACACATTCTGTGGGAATACAATCCCAAAATTTCAGCGTCACAGCTTTCTTAGTTGCTGAGTTGAAAGTGGGTGACAAAGTTCACGTGCTTCGGAATGCACATGGACGGCCTCTCGACAATATGCTCTATAGCGCTGCACAGCAAAAACGAATAAAAACACACTCGCCCTGGAACTTGTTTGTCTCTTGACTTCGCCCCTCCGGGATTTCAAAGTTTATACGACAATTCATCGGTGTGTAAGTCATATTACAATTGGGAAGAATGCAATGGAATGTGAGGCTCACATGCTTGTTAGCAGCACATTAACGCATATCAGAATAGTATCAATTTAAAGAAAAATAAGATTTGAAGTTATGAGGAGCGAAATCCGGAAGCAAACATTTGCTCCAGGAACGAATTTGACCTCCGTAAAACCGCAGCAGCGCAAAGCAAAGCAAACCTGAGGTGACGCTTGTTTGCCGGTAGGATATGGTGACATTCCAAGTGGACAAGTGCCAAGTTCTTCCTGTGTCCTAGAGCAATGAGAGAGACATGCTTCTTGGGTCGCAAAACGATTTGCTGTGCCGTCGCAGCCTTCAATTTAATTCATTGTAATGTTTAAAACAAAAAAAGATGTTTCAGGTTATGCAGCTTTCCTAATCTTTTACGCTTCAACTTTTTCATAAAAAAAAAGGATTTAACGACGCAAAAAAACTAGTTAAAGCAAGCAAACAAGCTCAGCGATCGCGCAGTACCCAGCGGAATCTCGAACAAATATGTCTATCAGGCACAAGATTCCTCGGAAAATAAATAGCGACGCGCATCAGGGCAGCCGCTGCGATCATGCGTTTTGTGATTTTGTCTGCTAAGGATTTTCACTACTTTGCACTTTGGTCTGTGCAAAAATAGTTGAATTACTGTGTAGTTCCTGGTTTATGGAATTTCCTTCCAAAAATTTCAGCTACCGGACTTGAAAGCTGAATTTGAAACTTTGGAGGATGAATATCCTTACAAAATTTCAACTTCCTAATTTTCTGGCTTTCACATGGTCGTATGAAAGACATCGGCATATTTATGAACTGAATTTGAGTTCGTGAATCCTTTTCTTAGGCAGAAAAAATCCTTGAAATTTTCAGCTTCCCAGCTCCTCTGGCTTGTCAAAAGTTTCCTGGGGACGTTGAGACCCAAGCGTACTTAGAAGATGAACTTGTATTTGCACAGCCGTAATTGAGCAGGGAGGGCTATTCTGAAATTTCAACTTCCCAGCTTTTGTGTTTTCGAGATACTAATTTTCTCGCCAAAACTTTCACGGGGCCACTTTCACGGGACCAGGGCTGCGTGGAGGCTGAAACTAAATAAGCAGGGGGGTACGCTGGTAAGGGACATCACTTTATAATTTTAGATTTCCAATTTTTGTGGTCCTAGAGTTGATAATTTTCCCTGCCGAAAGTTTCATGGGACCGTATGTGTTATCCAGGCGCGCTGAAAGGCTGAATTTAAATTTGCGAAATTATTTTTGGGCAAGGAAAATTACCGTACAATTTCAGCTCCTTGACTTTTATGATTCCAGAGACAATAATTACTTTGCCAAAACTTTCACGAAGCCGTATGTGTTACCCGCAGGCAAAGAAAAGTAGAATTTAGATTTTCTGAGCTACACGTGGGCAGGGGGCGTACCCATAAAATTTCAGCTTCCTAGCTTCTGTGGCTTAAGCTAATAATTCTCCTCACCAAAATTTTTAGGGGGTCGTACGTGTTAACCGCGAACACGGGGAGGTTAAATCTAAATTTGCGGGTCGCGCGTGTGCGAGGAACATTTTTCTAAATTTTCAGCCTCCTAATTTTTGTGGTTCTGAGTTGAAAGTTGTGGACAGGATTTATCGAACACACACACACACACACACACACGGACAGTCCTGTGAAAATATACATTTTGTGCAGCTGTTACACAGCACAGAAGACAATTAAGAGGTTTATGCTATGACAGCATAGCAGAACAGTGCCACAAATGCCACAAGCGTAGCGAGGGAGTGATTGCCTTCTGAGTGCTTAAAGGATTACAAAACTATTTGAAGAGGTTAAAAACTGTGTTAACTTGAATCTAAAAACGCAGATTTGACTTAAAGATCAAAATGTACGAGAGAGCTCAAGATTTAACGAAAGAGGAGCCTTTTGGGAAGAGGCCAGCTGAGTATTGAAAACGGAGAAGAGCCGGGAAGCCGGGTAACTGAGAGAAGCGCAGTAGATGTAAGTGCCAAATGTTAATAACAGTTTCTACTAGGAAAATTAATTATGCAGAATTACCTAAATAAGTGAACTGCATGCAGTTCTCAGTGATCTCATTATAGTACCACGCCATTCGCTGCTTCGAATTGATGCACGATTTCCCGCTGCTCATCGGCACTGTGCAAGCAAACTCTGTAACACTGAATGTATCCAAACTGAGATTCTCAGCGACAAGAAAAGTTTTGAAATTTTTTCCTTGATTAATGAGTATGATGAATATATCCTAAGAAAAGCCATGTGGATAGCACTGCGCAATGACCAGCAGTCACGTATTTATAATTGTAAGAGTATTATCAAGGCAATATATGCCAAGCAGAAAGTTGGACTGGCAATATAGCAAGAATTTGAGACAACGGGTAAGCAAAAAGATTATTGAATGGCACTCAACCGATGTTAAAAGAAAATAAAACCAGAGATTTACTAAAAAGGATTCGCTTATGGGCTATAACAAGAGGGCAACCCGCAACAGGAGACTGGGGAAGCTGCCCGCTGTCTCGGCAGCGGAAAAACACAACGATGAAAGGGATAGCTGATTGAAGCAATTTTGATGTTTTGATTCAATTCAGCAAATTTTGAATTTATACACTGCTTTATGTTTCTTTAGTGATACCAGAATCAAGAGATGTGGACCTGCCCGCAGAAAATGCACATGTAGTCTCATCGTAAATCATTCTTGATCAAATATAAAATTAAAAGAAAAAGCGAAATTATTAAGAGTAAGTAAATGAACCAGGAATGGGGCAACAATATTGTTGTTCATTGCACTTATATCCAGAAGGGCAAGCCAAAGAAGTTGTACACTTCTGCAATCGACCACTTGGATCAGCTAGTGGAGCTGCGCCATTGCACACTGTAATTATTATATGTTGTGGTCAGCAATTGTACAAAAAAATGTTTAGAGATTCAATAAGAAGGTTCAAGAACCTAATGAGGTTGATAGTGCTTTTCTCTTAACCGAAATGATGCATCAGTGCTAAAAAGGCTCACTTTACCAAACTTCCATTTAAGTGGAATTTCACACGTACTGCGTGAGAGCGATGTTGTGAGCGAAGACCTTTTTCAAAAAAGGCTGTAGACCGGGAGTGAATCGAACCGCTCCCTTTACATCCCGACGCTATGTGCTCCCCATTATACCACTGGTTCTTGCGCTTTACGCACTTTGCTGCAACTGTACCTAAATTCTGCGTGTATGGTACTCCTATACGTGTTCCACACTGTTTGACTGTTTCATCTTGGGTAGCACATTCAACCGTTGCCGACTTTTCACGGGTTTTCCGTGACGCTTGATAAATTGGTTATACGGTGAAATTTAAGGATAACAGCTAGAGAGAGTGGACTGTTGAATAATAGTCAATGGATGTTAAGAGCGCGAGAAAGCTCGTAAAGAGATTAAAAAACCCTGTATGAACTATGTAGACACGGTAAATCTAAACATAGAAAAACTATAAAAAAGACTGTAAGCAGTACCGGTGACGCAACAACGACACAGTATCTCTTTAAGTTGTCAAGATGCAAACACATTTATCCGACGTACTAAACGAATAGGTTTACCTTTGTCCGTATTGGCCAAGCAAAAACTTTCACAGTGCTCCTTGCTCCCAAAGTTGTTGCTGTTGCCAGAGCATCCGAAATAATCGAAAGGTTTGCATTGGCGCGAAGCCTGGTCGAAGTAGTACCGTAGCATGGTCATCCTGCGGCCGAAGCAGTTTGTTCCGGCAGTCGGCATTTCGGAACAAGCTTTTTCTGCAAAACTGGGTGACTGTTTTGAGCAGAATAATTAGGATGAGCGCCATAGTTCGGAAGGTACCATTCAGTCGCGCAACCTTTAGTTGCTGTGCTGGCGCTGCTTCGAAAAGGTGTGGTTATTCTCAATTCCATCTGAGTTCTTTCAAAAATTCAACATTTCCTAAACCAGTTTAACGCCGTCCAGCAATTTTACAATATTCTTTTTCAGTTACCGAAAATTTCATCTTTCGCTGATAATTTTTTCACCAGCTATCGATGAAAATAGAAACGAAATGGATGAACCAACCTGGAATTGGACAACAGACCGAAACAGGCCCAAAAAGTGGTTCACGGCAGACGAACTGCTTCGGACAGGTGCTGGAAATTTGCGGTGAACAGGCTGCGTTCAAGCCATCCATACGGTACGCCACACCTGTTTCACACTGCTCTGCAATATTGGCCTCTCAGAACTATACATTTCACTAGCAGAGACTATCCCTAGGAAATTAAATCGCCGATAAATAGCTAAATTCTTCAAAAAGTGTAGAAGACATATGAACCAACATGTTCTCAAAGTGTCGAACTGAAAGAATTCAGTTCTCGAAGTGTTGAACCGAAAAAACTTTGCCCACTTCTTTAATACCAGTATGCTGGAGGCAATATGTACGAATGCGGAACGTCATTAATGAACTACGGAAAGAATGCACGCTGGCTGGGTTCTGAAAAGCGCTGGAGCCAAGAATAATTGTAGTGTTGCTTTCTGACCACAAAAACAATCAGTTAACGTATCAGATGAGCAGCATGCAGGATACGGTATTGACCGCGTAAAAAGGTAAAACCCAATCGATGTTTAGGACATGTTGCCCGTTTCGACGAAACTGGAGGATATCACGTGTCAGTAGTGAAGAGGTCTAGCAAGACTGCTTGAATGATCTTTGAAAAAGTGATTCACATTCATCGGACAAGTGGCAAATGAAGACAAGAAGCCAAGAGAAATGACTGGTGTAGCTGCGTCCTGCATCTGGGTGCGTCCCAGTAATATCAGCAGCGTTGGATCCCCACACTGACTGTTCTTATGGCCTTGTTTAACCTTAGTAAATCCTTATTGACGGTATGAAAATTTTAGGAAAAGCATTTAATTTATTTATGTTTCGGAATAAAAACACAGCACCACACACGAGCACTCCCATACACATCTACAAACATACCCACTCACATTCACACATACACACGCACGCTCACCTACACACTCGCTCACATATATATGTATTGGAAAATGTTGCATGGCTGCTGACAGGTTGTAACGACAAGAGGTAAAAGGAATAGAACAGTCGATTTTGTTTATTTGATAT